CTCGGAGTTCCTTGAGCCACCTCTGTACGTTCTCGAATGTAACACGACGGGTAACATCGTAAACTAGTAGTGCCCCCACGGCGCCTCGGTAATATGCACTGGTAATTGCACGGTATCTTCGGCAAAACACAGGGACGTTAGACCAACATTTTAAAATTTTCACGTCTTTGCAATAAATTCAAATTGCACATTTGAACCCGATCTAATCATGGTTTTGATCCTTCTATTATACTAAAATTTGAGATTTAATCTCTTTATATTAGTTTTCCATAGTTTGATCTTTCTACTTTTATAATATTAATCAATACATTTAAACTGATAATATCGACAATTGATACCATTAGAGTGACGATCATAAACAACTTTAAACATTCAACTTTTATTGGCGGATGAAATATGATTGATTGAATGTTCGCGTAGTTCTAATTATATAACCTGATAATCATAACAATAAATTAAATGTAAACAATTTAGATTTATTAATAAAATTATAAAAAAAAAATCTCCATTTTCACCCATTATTATCTAATACAAATTTAATCATCATTCATCAATATTCATAAGCATAATTTACGTAATCTACAAGTTGTACACATATATATGATAATGCTTAATGTATTAAAAAATAATGGATGAATTAAATCTAAATCTAAATCAAATGTTTATATATAAAATTATATCAAATCAAAATTTTAGAATCACGAATAAACTTTAACATGCAAAATCAAGAAGGAATCCATAAATGAAGCAAACAGAAAACAAATCATAAAATAGCAAACAAAACTATTTACCTTTCCTGGCCAGCAGTGTCCCAGATTTGAGCTTTAACGACCTTATCATCAACATGAATGCTACGAGTTGCGAACTCAACGCCGATGGTAGATTTTGATTCGGAGCTAAATTCGTTCTTCGTAAACCTAGACAAAAGGTTGGATTTCCCAACGCCGGAATCACCGATCAAGACAACCTTAAACAAGTAATCATAATCATCATCAGCCCTATAGGCTCCCATTTCTCTCCCTATAGCCTTTTTTCCCCCTCGATTGGCGTCAAAAACAAATTCCCAGAAAACAAGAAACAAAAAAAGAAACCCAAATTTATTTGGGTATCTTAATTGTTATGGTTAGCACCGTCTTGTCTTCGCTTTGGTTTTTATTTGGTTGATTTTGATTCTGGGTTTCGTTGATGAAAATAATAGAAATAGGTAGAAAGCTTAGCAAATGGCTATGATTAAACCAAAACTAACCTCTTTTAACGAGATTTTGGAAACAACTTTGTGTGGGCAAAATTTACTTTGATCTAACCCTCTAATATATTGATGGTTTTTGTGTGTTGAGATAATTCGTACATATTATACATTATTGTTTGTCGTGAATTTCAATTTAGGTTTACTAAATAATGTTAGTCGAATTCAGTTATAGTTGAATATATCTAATATGAGTATAGTTAGTTTTTTTTTTAAAGTTCTTATTCGTTTTTGAATGAGGATAGTTAGTCGAGGATGACGGAATTGTGCTGTAACTTTGGAGAGTGGGGGTGGTGGTGGTTCATGTGGCTTGGTAGGGATGATGGTTATGATGTATTTGACGATCAATTTGATAGATTTTATAAACGTGTGTGTTAGTTTTGTTAAATTATTTAGAATTAAGATTAAATTGACTGAATGTTTAAATATAAATGGTTAAAATTGATATTACTCCAGTTAAAAAAGAGAGGAGAAACACAATTATTATCCTTATTTATTTAACCATCCTTGTCTTGATTGATCAAAGTTTCTAAAATTAACAACTTCATCAATTTCTTTTTTGTTTAGTGGCCAAAATGGAAAGACAATCAGTTTATTTTTTAATAATATGATGTAATTATAATGTATTATTTTTGTAAACAAATTATTCTAAATTATATCTTATTTAAAAATACAATATTCTCATTTACCACTGAATTTAAGGAGAAAAATATACTCTCTACAGGATTCGAGGTCCTTTAAGGAGGTTGTTATGGGGGTTAAGACGCCAATGATAAGCGCCATGGGCGGTTTGGTTGCTGGGTGTTGTGGGAGAAAACAAGAAACCTTAGTGACAGTGAAGATTGTAGAGGACGATTATTTCAATGCAAAACAACACGCTGAGGAGTCAAAGAAAACTTTATACATACGTAAATCGGAGGAAGAGTGGAGGAGACGCTGCATTGTTGGACGGATAAAGGGGTATATGATCTCGAAATAGTCCAGGATGTGTTAGTTGCAGAAGGGTTTCAAGTCAAAGTTAGCCAATGGCATGGTTTGTTGGTAGTGTTGGAGTTTACAAGTACTGAAGCTTTAACAAGATGTTGGAATATGAGAGAAGCTCTAACCCAGTCGTGGTTTGATGAGATGGATTTGCTAGAAGGATTCGAGGGCAAGAGGAGAATCAAAGTATGGTCCATGGATAGTTATGCAAGACGTGCCACTGCAAGCTCAAAAACCTTTTATGGAAATCGGAAATAGATGGGGGACGGCCATATCGATAAATGAAGACACCCTTTTAAGAAATCGCTTTGATGAAGCTAGGGTGTTGGTTGCCGTTCAGAAGGTTTCACTCATTCCAGATAGGGTCGTAATCAACGTGGATGATAGGGCTTTTGAGCTGAAACTGCAAGTGGAGGAGTTCGTCTGCGACCGGATTTTTTAGACGGTGAGTTTCCGTTCAAAAGGACAGGAGCAGAAAATATCCGAACGTCCGTTGCCCTTCCCGAACAGTTTGAGGGCATTAATGAAGGTGCCGTTATCGAAGGCAATAGGGAGAATTTTTTGTCGGCCGTAGATCCATGTCAGAATAGAATGATTATCCCAGCTGAAGAGTCATCTGATTTAGGGATGGCAAACGAAAGGTCAGGTGCAGATACCATCCTATATTCACTTAATATTTTTAAATTTACAAATCCGTTATCACTTATGATAGGTAAAATTTTTTAAATCCGCATCTACCCACACGGGTACATTCTTAAATTTATCCTCACACTTACTATCCAAATGGAGATGTACCCGACTAGACTCGCATGACATCAACCTTAAGTTATATATAAACAATAAACATAAAACAAATACGTCCATTAAGAAACATAATAAAATAAACTAAGGATTATCTGAATTAAGTGTTAACATAGATCTTAAAGTACATAAAATATCATAATAAAAAATATAATTAAAGCCTAGAAACATAAATGACAAACACATAATACTTTTATTCTTTGGTACACATAAATGACAAATCCTAAAATTATACCTATATTTATAATGGTCCAAAATTTAATGGGTATTTAATGGGCGGGCGAATGTGGGACGGGCGGATGCGGGGCGGGTAAGGTCTCAAACCCATCACCCGTCCACTACCCGCAACGGATATCACTTTCTAAATCCATATCCCCCACTACCCACTAAAGTTATACCCATCCCCGCCCCAATTGAAACGGATACGATATGGAATCCACGAAATTGTACCCCCGTTTACCATCCCTAATCTGAATGGAGAGTTTCAATCACGTGTTTAATGAAGTCCAAGAATCTGATGGTCTACTTGAAGTCCCAATTACGTTTTTGTGGTGGGCTCAATTTATTTGAAGAGAGGAAGAATGATAGTGGGCTCGCAGTAAATTATGGAGGAGGAATGTTGGGCGAGAAGTGCACATCTAATTCATATGGATCCCATCTCCTCGAGGTGGATTTTTTTTGGCCCAATAGAGCAAACGGTAAAAATATTTAGTTTAATAAGGTATACTGAAGTTTATTTTGGAATCTACGGTAATTGTTACGGTATTTTTAAAACTCGTCACGTCGAGGTGACGAGTTCTACTGAAAAATATATTTTATTCGACCGATTCATATTTAATTATTTTCTTGAAACTCGTTATGTCGAGGTGACAAATTCTATTAAAATAATATATATTTTTAGATTAGAGCGGTTTTTAAATATAAAAAAATAACGAAACATGTTCTGTGGAAGTGGTGAGTTTGAGGATGGGGATTACCCTTGCTGTGTCAGGTTTGCAATTCTGGTTTTCTATTTTGGTGTTGTATTCTTTGTGTCGTGCTGAAGTTATGTTAAGCTCTTCGTGTGGTAAGGTTGATAGTTTGGGCTGCCATTGTAACGAGTAATGGATATTGTATCTCTTACTTTTTCTTGAATAAGATGTACTATTTTTCCTCCGTTTAAGTCTTTTTTTAGTCTTGTTTTATATGTGATATAATCAATAACATACAAAACCTTCTTCTTCCCAAATAAAAAATAAAAACAATCATAGTTCAATAGCTTAACTTACCTTAAAAGATATCATTATAATAATATTTAGGGCCTGTTTAATCATCCAGTTTTCATCATGTTTTTATTTTGGCCATCTAACTATTAAAAAATTCAATTTAATTATTTAACTTTTGAATTGAACTCGTTTAGGTCACTTGCTCGTTAAATATTTAATACTAGCACCAAAATGTTGAGTTTTAGGACTTTTACTTTTGTAAGTAACCTAAAAGATTAACTTTATTCTTTCCCGTAATCCACTGTTTTTTTTTCACTATGTTTCGACCATAACCAATCATCGTTTGTGATGGATTTAGTAGTACAAAATCATTCCTTGTCCTCTTTTTTTTCATTCCCAATTTGGTTTCCCTTGAAATCGACAAAAATTAAATTAATGATTCACCTTTATTATGATCCAATCTACAATCTCTAGTGTTTGATCAATATAAAATCAAAATGTAATATTGTTCTCCTCATCTTCGGTCTCCTCAACATTTAAATTTAGAAGAAAATATTATAGTATTGATGAATCGAAAGAAGCGTAAAATTATCAGTTTGAAATGAAAATTTTGAGGCTTTTCATAAATTTATCAAAAGAATTAAAATGATATTAAAGAATTAATGATGGAGTGATCTAAATGAACAAAATCAGACAACATTGTAATTTAACTCATTTTAGCAGTGCATTGAATCCCTTTAGGAGATCCTTCATAGTTTCATGTGGACTTTATGTAAAAAAAAAAAAAAAAGCATAGCAAATAGCATTTGATTATAATGTTGTTCAAAGGAAAACACATGATCTTCGTTTCCTTGCTGGCTTCCTCTTTGGTTTTGGTGGCCTCAATGCTACCTTTATTGCAACATCGAAAACTGTCTTCACATTCTGAAAAACAAAACCCAACAAAGCAAACTCGATTAGTCTTTTTAAACATTTTAGGTTCTCTAAATTTCAAAATTTTATAATTTAATCCCTTTAAAAATTGGTAAAAGGCTAAACAATAGAATAATAGAAATGGGGTACCTGTTGGGTTTTGGAACTGCATTCAATGTAAGTCACTGCACCTACCATCTTCTTCAGTTCCTCTCCCTGCTCACCATGTTTATTATTAATATTATTGAACCATTAATGAACTATAAGCATTAGTAAAATTACATAATTATTTAATCTTAGACGCTAATTTAACTTGCCTGAGATGTCCTTATTGATGTTGTTCCTGGGTGGTCACTCAAGAACTGCTTGTCATCTCGTAAATCTGGTAAAATTACATTTTGATCCTTAAAATTAGAAACTTGTAATTTAATCTTTTAAAAACTATAAGTTGATATATAGATGAAATTACATTCTCGGGGTAGTTCAAAATTAGAAATAAGTTGTCTCGAATCTAATTTAGTAAGTCGAATCTATCAAATTGGATAAATAATTTAATTTTCGAATAGGTGGAATTTAATTCGTGTATGTAATAATTTAAAGTCGGATTAAGCTTACCTAATTTGGTTCCGACAAGCACAATTGGCACATTTGGAGCATGATGTCTAAGCTCAGGAATCCACTACTAGCCATGAAACATAAAAATAAAGGTAAGAGCAGATATAACGATGTTGCAATAAAAATAAAGGTAAGAGCAGATAAATTTAAGTTCTAAAATCGGAAGAATTACATATAAAGAAGAAGAATTTTACTATAGTCGATGGAAAATGATATCATATAAAAAAGAATTTTTAAAAAAATAAATATAGGATAAATACAATATAATATCTGTTAAAAAACTCTCAACTATTTTACAATAAACGCTCATACTCCTATGCGATGCTCGAACCTATGAACTCAAGTAATAATAAGTCGCTTAACTACTAAGATTGGTCGATTCATATATATTATGAAAGAAATTTAGAGTAGATACTCATTTGTTCTTAATTTATTTTTATTAAATGATCACACTGAATTAAACGGATTTCGAATCATAAAACTTCAACAATTTACAGAAAAATGAAAAACAAGAAATCACCTTCTTGTGAACATTTTCGTAACTGGGCTTGCTTATAAGAGAGAAGGCCAGCAGAAACACATCAGCTCCTCTATAACTCAGAGGTCTCAGCCTGTTGTAATCTTCTTGTCCTGAAATTAACACATTCTAACTTTTAGAAACCGAAATTGAACCGAACCGACAATAAAATCGGTGTAGTTAAAATAACTGTTGATTCAAAACATTTGGTTACTATCTAAATCAAAATCCAACGTTTTGAATCGAATTTTCAGCGTTTTAAATTCTTATTTCTCGATTCCTAGCCTAGTCATGAATTTACCGGCAGTGTCCCATAGGCCAAGGTTCACTGTACTTCCATCCACCACCACGTTAGCACTAAAGTTATCAAACACTGTCGGAACATAATCCTGTATCAAGATTATATTATCCGAATTCGATTAGTCGATCGATTCGTTAGTATTCACAAAATAACAATGTAAATGGGATCATGATTACCGTTGGGAAAGTATTGCTAGTATACGAAATAAGCATACAAGTCTTTCCGACTGCACCGTCGCCCACGGTGACGCACTTGATAAACCTGGCCGTATTCATTTTCTTCGTGGTGGTGGCCTTCTCAGCAACCCTAAACTCGGTTCGTAACTACGATTGTCGACGAAGAAGATGGTGAGGAATTGTGAGGTTTATATGAAGAAAGAAATGAAAACTTTAGACATGATTAAAAAATGGGTGGCCTTTTGGTTCCTTCAGGTAGAAGAACATGGTTATAAGAAGAAGAAAAATAATAAGTGATTAAAGTGGAGTTTGGTGTTGGTGTGTTAGTTGGTTTAAGTGTTGAAGAAGGGATATATGGAAAAAGAAAAACTAAACTTTTTCCCGACACAAATCAATATTGGGTTAGTAGAATAAAAAGTTAATCATTTTAAGTAAAACCAAAGATTCGAATTATGATATTATGAATGAACAAAGTTGAATTAAGAGAATAGTTCTTATAACAAACTTTTATAATATTCGATATTAATTAATCAATTAATGAATGAGATATTGAATACAAAACAAAAAACCACATTTGGAGCTTTAATTGTGCTTCATAATGACTTGGCACATAATAGTTTGTTCTTTTGCTCCCCCGCCAATCTTTTGAGTCTTCAAAAACAAAGAAGTGGGGGAATTAGTGATGTTTACGGCACATTTACTCATCTTTACGTTAAGATAACCTTTCTAATTATGTTACTTGTCCCAAGAGATGGGACATAGTTCGCAAGGTCTAATTACGATTTTAGTCCATCTATATTGAAATTCGAGATTTAATTTTTCCGTTTTAAATTTTCATAATTTGATTCTTTATTATAAAATTATTGGCATGTTCAAATTCACAACATATAATTTGTGGCTGTAATTTGATTTTAGTCCATCTATATTGAGATCAGTCGGTTGTTAGCCTTGTTTAATATTTTTTAAAGGCATAAATCCTTAAATTTTGACTGAAAAATTATTTCAGTCTCTTTTTACTTTTTAACGTTTCATTTTAAGTTAAAATAACTTGTTATCTCCTAGACTCGGTTCAAATATTACGGTCGAATCTAGACAGTCACATATTATAAAAAATCATTTTCAGTAAATAAAATACATATAACATTAAAAATACGAAAAATATCCAACAATAAGATTCATGCGGTAAACATATATAAATATCAACATCGAAAATATGTATAAAACATGTCCAAAACAAAATATTGATCATACAAATATATAAAGATAGTTGCAAAAACCCGTGTCCCCAAAATATAACAAAATAGCATATAAAAATATACAACGAATAGAAAGGAGAAACAATAGATCCCCCAGATGCCAAGCCTATTGTCTGGTAATATCTTAAAGGTTAAAAATTAAATAGTGAGCTAAAAAGCCTAATGTGTTCCTTGCGGTGTATACAGAAAATACATATAAAATACTTCAGTAAAAAATAATTTATAAAACATGTTTTTAAAACATGAACACTACCCTATCTGAACATCAAAATGTGTAGGTCCCCTTGAACCCTACACTCACCTGTACCCCTGGTAAGAACCTTATACTTATAATGTAAGGACTTCGGCAAGGACTTACCATGTGCACAAAGAAGAGGGGCATGTGGTAAGGTCTTAAAAGTCATAGATTAAGCCTAAAATATTTCCTCCAATGGTACCCCCAATGACAGTAAATATGCATGTATTTCAGTCAAAACAATAGTTTAATATCATGAAAAATTATATGGTTTAAAATCATATTTAGAAATATAAGGTAACCAGAGATCATGTCAGTCACTAAAATGTTCACTATATCATCAAAAGTTCAAAACAATTCAGATAAATAAATCAAAACATAAATTTAACACCATCAGGAACACACCTGTATCGGTATGAGAAGTCTAATAGAGTAGCCTATTATCGAGTCTGCCTATCACGATCAACGGTAGTGCTAGATCCTACAAAAGGAAAAACTATATCACTAACTTAATATAATAATTAATAAACTTTATTTAAACAATTTACATAAACCTACAAGTAAGCTCATAAAAATATATTCTCAAATTAATTATATATTCAAAACTCAAATAATCATGTAGAAATATTAAAAATACTAAGCATTATCGGGTTAACAAGATTATTTCGAGACTTTTGGGTCATAATTTGATAAAACGGACTGTAAAATCAAACTCATGACGTCGAAAAAGGTCAAGATTGAGGTTTTCGAAAAAAGACAACGACAGTCAACGTCTGTTAACAGTAAATGGCCAACGACTCAGCTCGACGTGACGCAATGCAGCTCAATTCAACTAGATTGGTTTGGTTCGATTCGACTAGGCCGATTAGGTTTTGGACTGGTTGGGCTTTGGGCTAGATGGGTTTTGAATCAGGTTAGGCGGATCGGTAAACGGGTTGGTCAACTGATTGGGTTAACTCGATTCCCAAACCCTCCCCAAGTCGGTGAAGGAACCCCACGTGCATGGGAGGTGCGTGCAGCGGCAAAGAGCATTGGGAAAATACAAAAAAATATAAAATTCTTAAAATGAGGTTTTGAGTCACTTATCAAATTGGGTTCACGACGGTGAACAGTGAAGAGCTTGATTTTGTAACTTCGAAAACTCGTTTTCCTTCACTCCTTCACACGTCGGTGATAATTACTACAAAGTAGACACTGATAAATTCGAGACAACTCCAAGAATACAATGGTAAAGGAGGTGTAGCAAACAGAGCTACGATCAGTGACGAATCAGATTTTAAAGTTTGTTGGATAAGAAAACTAAAAATGAAAAGAAAGAAAAAAGTGGAGAGAGAATGCTTTTGGGTTGGGGTTAAATAGAGAAAGTTTCAATAAGTGGGATTTAAATCCCTCCCAAACTTTAAAAAGGGAAAAATCACCTTTTAAGCCCTCTAATTTTTTGTCAAGTTAAAAATTTGATTCGTATTTAATTAAATTTAATTTAATCCCTGAATTTAACTGATTAAAAAATGGCTCCTATATTGAGGTATGACATAACTCATAAATAGATGAAAATTTTTAGTTGACTACTGTCAACTTCTTTTGTTGGCGTGACACATCTTATGTGTCTAAACTCTCAAGTGTTGACATGACATTATCATATATGCATAAGTGATGATGTGGTACATGTCATGAATTCATAGATAACGTTTTATATATCTCCTAACTTTTATTTTATTTTTGTCCAAATACACTCTTAATCAATACAATATAAGCATTCATTGTGACCAACTGAATCTTAGCTCCAAATCCGTGAGTTCAAATACATTTATACATAATCACCTCCGGTTTAAGGGTATCGGATTATAACTTGTTGATTGAATTCAATGATTTCACATGTCGCAAGCAAATTTCATAAAGAAAATTTATCATGAAAAATTAAAGAAACCTCAAAGCAAAATATCATACATGTAAGAATTTTCAGACCCCAGTGCTAGAAGAAACCCTTTCCATTTAGCACGGTTAGCCCTCGTCTCTTTTCCCAACTCATTACCGTCGTCCATTACAGTCTTCACCGCCCTGCAAACATCATCCTTTGTAAACAGCCCATTCTCTTCGCCTTTCTCAACCTCCACTCCAATTCTCAACTCTCGAGCCATCAATCTTGCGTTAATTATTTGGTCCCGACGTGGGGTAACAGCACCAGTTGACAATCATTCAACATACCCTCTGCCAACGAGCCTGACCCACAGTGGGTCACGAAACACCTCACGGAAGGGTGCTTTAGGATCAGTTGTTGTGGCACCCAACCTCCATGGACGAACCCTATCTTCCTTGTACTCTTTCTTCGAACCCTTTCGGCCAGGGGTGGATCCAAAATTAGATATAGAATGGAGTCGAAATATTAATCTTTTTAAGAAAAATATAATGATTTACTAGGTATTTAAACTCACAATTCAAAAAACAATGTTTTATTTATCTAATAATTAAATTTATAATGACCTAAATTGTTATTAGACCAAAAAATTGAGAAATTGAATTATAATTCTTTTTTTTGTATAACCACTTGTTTTCAATCTATTGGTTTACTAATTCGGATCATGTACTGCAGAGGCGAGAACGATACTCCCAACTTAGTTTGCTTCATTCGTAATTGTTATGATTCGAACCTCTGACCTTGCTTAAGGGATCTAGTGCCTCATCCAGCTAGACCAACCGATTGTTAGTATTAGATTATCATTCTTTTAGTTCGCCCCCTACTTTATTAAATATATAATAAATTCTTATATTTCTTAATTTAAATACTTAATTTTTCATTAATCAAAATACTATTAGATCAAAACTAGGGGTGTAAACGAGCCGAGTCGAGCTCGAGTATTGCTGAGCTCGACTCGACTCGACTCGAAAACTCTGAAATGGAGCTCGACTCGACTCGAAAACTCGCGAGCTTAAAATTTTTAAGCTCGACTCGAACTCGAAATCCTGAACTGAAGCTCGTGAGCAGCTCGAAAAGGCTCGAAATGAAAAAAAATCTTAAACTTAACAAGATTGAATCCTCAAATTCAAACTCGAACCTTAAATACATGAAAGCCTTATTGTATTTTTTTTAAAAAAAATCAACACATAAATGTTAATACTATTAATAATTTATTTTTAAAAAAATAAAATCTTAATATATTATATTTTCGAGTTACTCACGAGCTTTTCGAGTCGAGTATCAAGTAGCTCGTTTCGGCTCGTTAAGAATTCGAGTCGAGATCGAGTTCGAGTCGAGTCCATTCGATCCGAGTATTTATCGAGCCTTGACCGAGTCGATCTCGAGTAGCTCGCGATCTGTTTCGTCTCATTTACAGCCCTAATCAAAACTATAGAACATAAAATAATTTTACTGGGGCTGGGCCCTTTGGGCCATAAGGGAGCTCCGCCCCTGCTTTCGGCAAGGCCGACTCGATTGTTTCGGCTCCCTTTGGTGGTTTAAGGACAGCTAGGAAGGGTAGAACTACTTTTTGAATTAAAAACCTTTTCCAGAACACACTCACTTCCGAAGGCACGGAATATCACAGTCCCGGCTCCGAATCGGCTTAATAATTTTTCCCATTGTTCTTCCAACGTCGTTTTCGGTGATTCCGGCACGACCGGACCAGCATAAAGCTCCTGCTTTTTGACCTGGCTTCCGACATATTCACAATAAGGCCCTTCAATCTCCTTGCAGGTCTTGAAACCAATAGCATCACAATCACCGAGTGTATTGGTGAG